ATCCCGAAAAAAGGCCCACGTACAGGCACATTGAATAGTCGTTTTCTAGGTCAAAATACACGATTGGCCTCCTTCAAATCTCCTAGCGTTAGGCTTAGGCATTATCTCCCGTCATTACCGCATGCGTGGATTAGCGATGTGCCGCTGCCATATGCCTGTCTCTATTCTTCCTTTTTAAGATCTGATTCATATGGCGCCACATGCTGCTGTAATCACCAATTCTTCACGCTGCTGCCACGAACTAATCTCTCTCAATTCCCATCTTGTATGACGTTGAACTTCTACATCAAATTTTAATTATTCTGATTGCGTGATTTGTGATGCGACACAGCTCTAGGGTACAGGCGCTGCAATTGTTCAAAAGCTTGGAACCGTCAATGCTTCGTCGAGCATCCATAAACAGTGATGGCTATCACCGGAAGAGGGGACATGGAGGGGCTGGGTTTAATTCTCTAGGTATATATTTTCGCAACGCTGATCATTTTTTTGCTAATAGAACAATATAATTTCCTCATACAACCAATGATTTTGTCATTGCATAATATATATAAATGCAAGCTAAAAGCCAACCATTTTATTATACATGATTATTCTTGTTCACATTCTTGAATTTCAATATGAACATGTTTTGTAGAAATGCATTTCATTTCATATTTTAGAGTAGTCAGATTATAAAATCCATCTTCTTGGTGCGTGGAATTATTTACCAATATTAGCTATCACTAGACACGCTCCAGCTGCAAAAATAAGTGTGTCTAAGCAAAGTAAAATGCAAATGGTACTTGAATACAAAACTATTGGGTAGTATGTGAGGCACAAATATTTTTTTTGCTTCATTGCTGTTTGCCCCCCTATGCCTAAATCCTGGCTCCGCCCCTGGTCAGCGGGGCCACCAGGTGTGCACAACCGACCTGGGCACGGCACGCCAGGAGAGGGGGGGTGGGGCGTGCCCTAGTGGGTTGTGCTCCCCCGGGACCCCCCCCCTTCGGGGGTTCTTGGCTCCAATATTTTTATTTTATTCCATTAAAAAATCTCCAAAAAGTATTGTTCCATTTCAAGAACTTTTATTTCTGCACAAAAAGCAACACCATGGTAGTTCTGCTGAAAACAGTGTCAGTCCGGGGTAGTTTCATTCAACTCATGCAAATTAGAGTCCAAAACAAGAGGAAAAACATTAGGAAAAATAGTTACGGCGGAGACGTATCATATGGCTATCACCTAGCGGAGTAGCAAGTTGCAAACAAGCAGGTTTAACCCATATATGGCATATAAAGCCGGTCAAGAGGGTATGAAAGCTAAACTCGGTGAGTTGGAAGACCCCAAGTGACATTATGATCAATTAATAAATACTCATGCCTAGTAAATATGGGATGAAACGACAGAGGCCCCGAATTTCGGTGATGCCGACTTTATTACGTTGATCATAATATGATAAGTCGATAAGGCAGGATACCCATGTTTGAACCGCGCATCCTAGCAGCAAGTTCTCTTTGGCAACGTTTAATTTTCTGAGAACTCGAACTTGCGAGAGATGGATTCGTCTTGAACCAGATGTTGAACCGGATGTTGAGCCGGATATTGAGATCTTAAAACTTTGTGAGAAACAGATTTCCCTTGAGCCAGATTTTGAACCGGAATGTTTTCTGATAACCTGACATTTTTCTTTTGAGCCAGAACTTTTTGATTGCCCGGTACTTTTTAAGCCGGAAATTTTCTAACATCCTTTAAATTTTCACCAATGTGACAGTAACCCCTGAGACCGGGTTATTTTCCCTCCAATGAGCCTTGGTTCTTGAACTTGCTGAAACTGGCAAGATTTGTTGAGTCTTGTCCGTTTAGCCCCCGAGTGTTAAGAGGACTCGAGGATTTAGCTTGAGATTCTCCATACTTGACGGTGATATAAGCCGACATATAGTTGAATAGCAGAACACTAGAATATGTTGAAGTTGGAAGCAAAGTGGCGAGTTGATGATCTTCGCAACACTCATTGTATAAACTTGGCGTTGATAAGGCGATGTGAATCCACGGAAGGTTGAGGTCAACCGTGGCGGGTTATAAATGATCCCGTATGAGCTGTGTCAATATCCCAGCTGGTTGTTGAAGTATAACCAAACCGTAGTAGCAGTGACTTATGCGACTGTCCATTGAGCCATCGGGAGCAGACGGAGGTTGATAACTTATTATGATTTTCTCTATAGTTGTTGGAATAGACTAGGCCATAAGAGCGGCGACTTGCGCACGCTCACGAAACAGCTCGGCTCTGTTGTGTTGATGTAGATCAAACCGCGGGGGTGGATGGTAAAGATGACCGTGGCATCAGAGACGACATGGACACGGACGAGTCGGCCGCAGGCATGGATAGATGAGTCAATCGCAGGCGCAGTCCCGACGAGCCGATATAGACCAAACTGTAGGGGCAGCGGCTATGCACATCCGTTGAACAGCAAAACAGGCACTATCCCGGTGAGCCTATGTAGACCGGACCACTAGATGATGAGCAGCGTGTTTGCCTATGATGTAGGTCAATCTCCGGCACGTTGATAGTTGGATGGCAATCTGCTAAGAACCGCGGGGCAAACGTTTGCCAGTATGGCCTTTACTGGACCATTATGAGGCAAACGGGATCTCTGTACCCGTAGCTTAATGATCTCTTTTGTATTGAAGAATTTTTCTGCATAAAAAATATCGTAGTGTGAGAGTAATTGGTCTCGAAAGAATAAAAAATATATATTAAAAAGTAAATAAAGCGGATAGCACCTGATATTTCTATGGGATGTCGAGCCAGTCGTCATGACGAGGCGATTATGAAGATGAATCGGCAGGCACAATTAACTGGCAACAACGGTGGATCGGCTGCGGTTGTGAGCTGGTCGTGATAGCAAGGCGGCTAAACTTATAGCTTCAACCACCTCTGTTCCTCTTAACCACTCCATGCCTCAACCACTGTTTTCCTCCCACTGAGTATTTTTTAGCAGTCATCTGTGATAATTTTCAAGAAATTTACTATTGTAATGGACAAGAGGTCCTCTAGAGTCCAGAACCAGCCATTGAAAAATTTTAAGTCTGAAATTTCTCTCTTATATTCTACCGGGCCAATTCCTCCCTATTTACTCTACTTTTTCTCCAGCCCCGTTGGCAGCCAACACACCAACGGGACTCATCTGCAGAGAGCCAGAAGTCAGGCGCAGTTGACGGATTCGGTGAGGAAGTGATCCGGAGCGTAGCGGAGCTGCATCCCCGTGGCGGAAGCATGGGCCGGCTTGACTCCGGGGGCGACCGCTTGAAGGTGCAAGGCCACGCGGCAGTAGCGGTTGAGGCGAGGCGGGTCTGCGAATGGACCGACTCGGCGATGTCACAG